AAATCCTGCAATGATGAGAGTCACTCATAGGGGCCAAAGGAAAGAGCTACCAATGGCTAAAGCTTTAACAATTTGTGTAACAAAGTAAATGATGTGGTACTGAATTAATCCCAAAGTATAAACTAAATGACTATAAGATTATACCTACATAATTAAACAACTGAGTAATTTAAACACACAAATCTGTTCAAATTCCAAATACACTTTTACCTATTAAATAGAAACATAATACAACAAACAGTGAAGAATCCTGCATTTGATTCTACTTTGCCATGTCTGTTTACTTCAGATATCAAAGTCTTTCCTTTTTAGCATTGTTTTGTCTTGCTTTGCTCTCCTATGTCATAATTATTTCTGTTCATTGTTTAGTCACAGAGGACTAGAATATTTTTTAAAGTATAATATAGACAGAGTAAAGAGCACAGATTTTAAGTGAACACAAATCTTAAGTGAATTTTTCAAATGTATAACCACCTGATCCCCATATAGGGGTTATCGGAAAGTTTCCGTTTATTTCCTTTTCCAGTTCACACCAGAGGTCCTAGCTATTCTGATTTCTATCACCATAAAAAGTTTTACCTGCTCGTGAACTTCAGATTAAATGGGATGATATACTCTGTAGTCTTTTGTGTCTTGCTTCTGTGTGATTCATCCATGTTGTTGGGTGGTGATAGTTCTTTCTTTTTATATTTCAGCCTATATTTCATTTTATGACTCTGCCACAGTTTATTTATCCATTCTACTTTTCATGACATTTAGGGTGTTTTCAGTTTTAAGCTATTAAGATACACCTGTTATGAACATTCTTGAAGTGCTATATGCACTGATTTCTCTCTCTTTTTTCTTTTGGCTTTTTAAGTTTTTATTTTAATTTCAGGTAGTTAACATATAGTGTTATATTAGTTTCAGATGTACAATATAATAATTCAACACTTCCATGTATCACCTGGTGCTCATCACAAATGCACTCCTTAATCCCTATCACCTGTTTAACCCATCTTCCCACTCCCTTTCCCCCGCCCCTCTGGTAACCATCAGGTTGTTCTCTATAATTAAGAGTTTGGTTTTGATTTGTCGCTTTCTCTTTTTTCCCCTTTGCTCATTTGTTCTGTTTCCTAAATTTTAGATATGAGTGAAATCAGATGGTATTTGTCTTTCTTTGACTTACTTATTTCTCTTAGCATTATACTCTGTAGCTCCATCCATGTTGTTGCAAATGGCAAGATTTCTTTTTTTTTTTATGGTTGAATAATATTCTAGAGAGAGAGAGAGAGAGAGAGTGTGTGTGTGTGTGTGTGTGTGTGTGTGTGTGTGTACATATCTTCTTTACCCATTCATCCACTGATGGACACTTGGGCTGCTTCCATACTTTGGCTATTGTAAATAATGCTGCTATAAAATATAGAGATGCATGTATCCCTTTGATTAGTGTTTTTGTATTCTTTGGGTAAATACCCAGCAGTGTTTTTAACTTTTTGAGGAACCTCTGTACTGTTTTCCACAGTGACTGCACCCACACTGACTGCTCTTGAATATTTATTTACTTTTTATTGGAATTGCTGGGTGATAAGGTAAGCTTATATTTAATTTTAGTAGATACTACCAAAAATTTTCTAAAATGACTGTGTTATTTTTCTTACATGTTAGTAATATATAAGTTCCAATTGTCTTATATCCATAGTAAAATTTGATGTTATCACTCTAATTTTAGCCATTAATAGGTACGCAGAGAGATCTCGTTGTTTCATAGTTTTTTTCTCTTTGTAGTTTTATTTTACATTTCCCCAATGATTAAT